TGTTGATTTTGATGTTGTCCTCAGTATGATAGACGGAAAAGTCTTAACTTATATCACTGGAAATTCGTCGATGCAGAATTGTCCAATATGTCGGGCAACACCAAATGTAATGAATGATGCAGAGAAATTCGAGGAAGGATTTATATCAAACGAAGAAGCCTTGCATTACGGCATATCTCCACTTCATGCTTGGATAAGATTTTTCGAATGCCTTTTGCATATTGCATACAGAATGGATATCAAAAAATGGAAGATAACGAAACCGTTCAAAGAACTATATGAACAAAGAAAAAAACATGTGACGACACAGCTTTACGAAAAATTTGGAGTAAGAGTAGATCAACCACGATCGGGTGGAGCAGGTACCAGTAAAGGGTGATACGGTCAAAATTTGGTCAAGGGAAAACGCGTGTAAATCGGTGAAATCGTTTATTTAAAAAACCAAATTAAATTTCTTTTTCAAGTTCAATTAGTATAAAATTCAGGAAAAATATTCAGTTAGGCTTCCGCTTTTCCAAATCCGAATTGCCGGGCCTTACGCTTGACCCCTGCCATCAGATTTTGTACAGCCACCTTGTCCACCTTCTTCGCCGCAGAAAGCCAGTTTGCCTTGAACTGCTGCTCGCCCTTAGCAGTTTTTTTGGTCTTCTTTAGGTTCCGCTTGACAATAGCCCAGTATTTCTCAATTGGGCGGAGCTCTGGCGTGTTGGGAGGGTTCTTGTCCTTGGGAACCACCTGCACGTTGTTGGCGGCGTACCACTCCATGGCCTTTTTACCGTAATGGCAAGATGCCAAATCCGGCCAAAACAGTACGGAACAACCGTGTTTCTTCAGGAAAGGCAGCAGACGTTTATTCAAACACTCTTTCACGTAAATTTCTTGGTTGACAGTCCCGGAAGCTATGAAAATGCTGCTTTTCAAGCCACAGGTACAGATGGCTTGCCAAACCAGATATTTCTTTGCGAACTTTGACAGTTTCATGTGCTTGAAAACATCTGCTACCTTTCCCCTTCCTTTTGCCGTATAAAACTCCTGTCCCGGAAGCTGCTTGTAGTCGGCTTTGACGTAGGTTTCGTCGTCCATTACCACGCAGTCAAACTTCGTCAGCATCGTCGTGTACAGCCTCCGGGATCGTGCTTTGGCCGTCGTATTTTGTTTATCATCGCGATTTGGAGTCACTACCTTCTTGTAAGTCGATAGTCCGGCTCGTTTTTTGGCTCGATGCACGGTTGTAGACGATACACCCAGCTTATTTGCGGCATCTCGGAGAGAGAGGTTAGGGTTTCGCTTGAAACTACCGGCAACTCTCTTTGTCGTCTCAGCAGCTTCCGGTTTTCGATTTACCCCCGATTCAGACTTCCTGGCTGTCGACAAACGTTCCCCAAACACTTTAATTACATTTGTAACGGTTGATTTGGCAACTTTTAGCGATTTTGCCAACTTTGCGTGCGAGTAGCTCGGATTTTCGCGATGCGCGAGCAAAATTTTGATACGCTGCTCTTCTTGCTTGGACGGCATTTTGACAACTACAGGAAACGTTTGTCGAAGAGCATTTGGAAATCCCAAGCTTTTAAGCTCCGTGCTGAACATTGATGAAGAGTTAATTTTCAGATTCCGGAATATATTAATTGCTATTAACTGCCAAGAGCCAATAAACCCGGAAAAATTTGATGCATATTGCAAGGAAACATATAGGCTCTATTTTAAATTGTATGATTGGTGCAAAATTCCTGCAACCGTGCATAAAGTTCTCGCTCACGCCGGAGAAATAATCATACATTCACCAGCACCACTTGGTTCATTAGCGGAAGAGGCAGCAGAAAGTCAACATAAACAATTGAAAAAATATCGAACCCATCATGCAAGAAAACGATCAAGAGTAGAAAATGTACATGATGTCTTTATTCGTGCCATTAATGAATCGGACCCACTGATCAGTTCCATTTGGATGGCAAAATGACGACAGAAAAAAGTATCCCTGGATTATCCCGACATCGTGAAAAGTTTCATGATATTTGAAAATTCTGTAAGTGATTCAGTAGTCGATACTAATAACTTCAATGCCTTGGAGGAACTTATGAAAGCAGTCGATGAAATTGAGGTAACAGAGGAATAAAAAGAAATTAGTTGAAACATATTTGATTTTGATTATTGTATCATGGCTTTTTGTATTTTTTTACAGAAGATTTGTTCAAAAAAATAAACATATTTCCAAAAAAAAAGTTTATTTTTTATTTTTTACGGTGTTCCATCTAATAAAACCATGGTAGGTTGTCTTTGTTCAATAGATTTTATTCTCTGAAAACAAGCTTGAAACTGTAACCGTTATAAAATCGTAAAAATTAAATTTTAATTAATCAAAAGTTAGGCCCTTTTCAAAAGTTGGTCGTGAAAATGTTGAAAAGTGATAACGCACACCTTATATTGATGAAACAAAGCAAGAATAATAGCAGAAATTGTGAAAAATGATAGAAATATTTTTGACCGCCTGGTTGTATGAAAATGCCCCATAGTGGATTGATGTCATTGTAACCGTTGTAATTCTTGCTGTTCACGAGGTTTATTCTATGGAGATGCGTATCTAGCGAGTAGTGGTTGGACACAAGTTTACTCATCACGCGAATGAAGTCACGTCTTAAGGCCAAACCTTAAACCACGCTCTCGAAGAAATATTAGGAATAATAAGTTATTCCTAATATTTCTTCGAGAGCGTGGTTTAAGGTTTGGCCTTAAGACGTGACTTCATTCGCGTGATGAGTAAACTTGTAAGATGTAACCATCGTGTGAAATTTGCCTGGGTTCAATCCCAGTCGGCGCCGCCGGGATGTTCTGAGGCATAACATCTCTGATCACGCCTTCCTTCGGATGGGAAGTAAAGCCGTTGGTCCCCGGTTCATGAGTTGATGGGTCAATAGGTAGGGTCCAGGTGTGGGAGCTGCCTTCCTGGCACGTCGGTAGCATTGGTGCTCAGCACGGAAAACAAGATCGACGGAAAAAACAAACCAAAGGAAAAAAAAATATTATATGCATTCAACCAGCACACTCATCTGCTCCCTAAGATGAGTGCCCACCTGGTTTCATCGACCGAATAGCCTCAATCGAACTGAGACTATGCGATAAGATGAAGTAATGGTCTGCGGGCATTGCGAAGTTGATTGCTGCCAGCTTAGCAGATTTTATTCAGCACGAAGCTGCAAAAAGTTTTGAGCTTAAATAGCTGAGCATCACAAACTGATTATGTGATGATTAAGAGGAACAGTTGAATGTTGCAGTATTAACATAATCAGTATCATCAATTCCACAGGTAAAACTTCTAAGAAGAAGATAAAAATACACGAATAATAAAAAACTGAATTAGTTAATTCAATACATTACCCTATATATATATATTTTTTTTGGAGTGTAAAATCGAACGATGTCGTAATCAACTTCACCCCATTTTACAAAACGCACGTTTCCTAGATCTCTCGCTAAGCAAGATAACCGCATGCATCATTAATTGAATTTAACCTAGAGATTTCAAGTTGAGAAGATTCCATTTCTCGAACCAGCGGCATCCACATTAGCGATACACAACTTTGTGGCATCGCGAAGCAAATAAATAAAACCCTGAATAATCCACCTACCGGTGACAAGTGCTTTATTCGTATAATATTACATAAACAAAATAAAATATGTGTAATAAAATATTAAATGTATAAAATTACATATCACTTCAAATTTTGGTCGTTACCGAATGAGTACCCCGAACACTCTTTAATTTTAGGTACTAAATTCTGGTTTCCTAGGGGTATCCGGGTGTAAAAGAATGATTAGGTTAGAGAATTCGAGGAAAATTAATAACTACCATCTTTTCGAAACTTGTGTACCTCTGTTTTAGTCAATTTATTACAGAACAGGATTTTACTCATTTAATTAAAAATAGAACATGAGAAAATGTTACTCAAAATTGAACAGTGTTTGAGTAAAATTTGATACAACGAAGATAAACAATTCTACTCCATTGGGTTGAATGAGTTCATTTTTCTGAGCTTACTGATGTTTAGTCGTTTTCTTAGACTTCCTTCTCAGTTTTAAATTGAGGATCAAAATGCTCGAATTATTTCGCTTTTCGACTCGAAGCTACTTCATTGACAGCTTGCTCCATACATTATTAATGTAGCATTGGGGCTTTTGCCGATGTAACTCCCAGCAAAACCGTTCCAAAATCATATCAATTGTTGCTTTCTTATCTTATTAAGTTATTTTTATGTTGTTCAAAAAATCAACAACTTATTCTGTCATCATAACATAGTCTGTTATTTTTATGATATTTTGAGAATTTATAAAATATAATAAAAAGATATCAAACCATCATAATAATGACAAATTATGCTATGATATCAGAATGAGCTATTAGTTTGATAATGAGTTGATTTATTGAACAACCAACCAATAGCTCAATGAGATATGATAGCTAAATATTTTCAATATTAATTTGCTATGCAGCTCTAACCGGAACCTCTCCTGGGATAAATTGAAGCTCGATTCAATTACTTTATATAATTCACAAAGAATAGCAGCATAAACATACACGGGAACAATTTAAATCACCTACAATATAATAAATATATCGTACGCTGAGGCCGATGTCTTATCCACAACAAATCGAAATATTCATGGACAATTCGAAGATCACCCATTGTGTAAAGTTCACGTGACACGCGTTCTGCTTTATGTTGGTCTCTGAACGGCATAACTTTGACAATCCAAAAAACTTGAGTTCCTTTTTCCTCCTATCTCCATCAAGAAGATTTAGAATATAAAGACAGTCGCACTGACGACTACCCGAGCAGAAGATAAAAACTAATGACTGTTTGGTGTTGATCAGGATGATGTAAATAACAAAAAAATATATTTGGATACCAAAAGAATACCTGTGTGGTATTGCATTTGCATAATTTGGCATTGAAATGGTATGTTGATAATATATTTTTGGTATTAGTTTGTTGCTATTTTACCTCTTATGTCGGGCTCATCCATACCAGTTTAAGGTATCAAGATAGAAAGAGATACCCAAATAACCACCAAGCCCGCTAACTACCCGATAATCGCCCTTTTTGAGATTTAATGTAAATATAAGGTTTTCGAACTTTATATCAGTCGTGCATTAGCCTTATAAAGCAAAAATGGCGATTAGCGGGCTTGTTGGTTACTTGGGTAGCCCAATAACTGATTTTGCTATAATCCAGTTACTAGTCCACACGTTTTGTGATATTAATTTTGATATTTTACCACTTCAATCGATCAAACCAAAGGCAAAACGAGTTCTTCAGATTTTCTATTTTTAATATCAAAATTTTGTATTGGTCAGTTATTTATTTCTACTCGCGAATCGTACTTCTAATGCACTTGAATTTTTCCACAATTACAGAGCAAAAGTAAAATTTTTGCGCCATGTATACGGATGAGTTGTAAACTATCTGTTTACGCCAATATAAATTTTTTGTTATAACAATAAAATGAAACAAAAAGCGAGAAAATTCTTCGAATGTACCAAGCCACGAAAATGCGTCGTTTAAGAGATATTGGCCAAACTGCATTTCTGGCCCACTGTAAGGTAGGTGGATTAATCAGGATTGTTTGGTGATATGTTTGGAGCCAAATGTTTCAACCTTTTTTTTTATTTATTTGGGAGATACAAACAAAATGAAACCAGTTGCACTCAAATCGATTCAGCTATCGCCGAGAAAAGCAATTTGCATACTAAATTTCACTTATTCGATACAGCGACTAATCCGAACCAGATATCCCATCGGGATGATATTTAATAGTGTTCTATAGGAGATAGGTACAAACAAAATGGAAACGGATGCACTCAAACCGGTTCACAACCGCCGAGAAGAGGGAGTGAGTATTAATGTATTCTTGCTAAATTTCACAATTTTGGCCACATTTCCTGAACCATTTGGTAATGTTCTACCGGAGCCTGGAACACACAATCTAGAACTTGATCCAAATAGAATAAGTTCAGCCATCGGCAAGAGAAGTGAATGAATAAAACACACACTCTCAGACATTTTTTGATCTCATCGGCCTGAATAGATTCGTATATGACACTCGACCCTTCGGACCATTGATCGAAAATGTGTTTTCCATGTGATATTATAGCCTTTCGATACACCTAGGTGTACGAGAAAAGCAAACAAAATGAACAAAGCAGCCCGGTAAAATCATTCATCCACAGAGCCACGCCGCCATTGCCTGCTTCGACCAAACGAGGGTAAACTTTTCCCGCCACCCCTCGTCAAGCAAAAGACCTACTGTGAGTCGACTGCTTATCACTTTTAGCATCCATTAAAAGTTGTTGCAAGCCGCGGAAGGATTCCGTAATGTTTTTTTTTTTTTTATTCTCCCAGGTCTGTCTGAGAAGATATTTAGTAGCAGTGTATATGTGCATAAAGTAGTATCAAAAGCCTTCTGTCATGTCGCGTTTGATAAATGTGTCATTCGTGTGGTGTGACACACATTGAATCATGAGGATTTTGCCATCGCCTAAGAGGAGCATAAATTTAAAACATGCTCAAGTCTAATCCATTTACCAAGTTGGGTGTAGGGGAGATTACTTTTTTGGTTATTTTTCACATTGTATAGTCAAGGGACGAATGAAGTCCTTCAAGTATGACGAAGACGTAAAACACACAAGCTCTGAAATGAATATATTCTAGGTGGTGGTGCACGTAGATTTGGATATGTCCAGAAATCACGTAGTCCGAGCTGGAGAGGATTTAGTACTTGCTTGAAAGCATATTCTGAAAAAAATGTCAGTATTCATTTCCGAAATTTCTTCGATTCTAAGCAAAGCGATGATAAGATCCCAAGCAACAATGCTAGTTTTATCAAAAGTTTTAAGCATTCTTCTAGAACAAATCATTGTCTACCATAATATGCCAAAATTTGAACTATATTATACCACATAAAAATGCAAAAGTCTCCTAATTATGGTGCTAGTGTTTCCTTAATTGGCCGTACAGCCTAAATTATGTTAAAACTAAGTTTCCCATATTTTTCCACATAGGCAAATAGTAGGTTTTATGCCGTATGTCCAGTTAGAGAACCACTAGCGCCACAACTGGTACAATTTCCCTACTTATTCTAGGATTCAGTTCGAATAAAGCCATAAAGTTCATGCAATTAATGACAACATTCATCCAGAGCTCCTTAGCAACCCTTCAAACCAAAATCCACATAACAAAATCTCTTTAATAAGAGTCTGCCAGACAGACAATAAACTTTGCTTGAGCATGACGAACGATCCATTTCAGTCGTATTCTTTTTCGTTCCTCCCAAGCAGCAGTCTCTGGTGGTTTGGATAAAGTTTCATAGCCTACTCTGGTACGGACCACTGAGTTTGTGCTTATACGTTGACTTTCAGTATTAACTCCAAACGAAGCTAAACGCACTTCGTCTTTATCACTGTCTACTGTGATTAACTTCCACACAAGCACTTTTTCGATGGAAGAAATGCTCTGTCATAAGCAATTTGTAAGTCAGCAAGGGTCAAAACTAGTAGGTCGTGTGAATAGCAATATGATTTGAACTAATTGAATTGATTTTGACCACTCGCTTGCATTGGTCTAAAAAATGATAGCATTGTTCCACTGTACTTTCACTGTCACGTTGTTACTCTTTAATTAAAATAATAATTAATCTGGAAAAAAAATAAACTCTAATTCAGACGTGATCAGGATACAACTTCACAACTTTTGTTTTTTTTTTTTTTTTAACTCTTTATTTGTTCCAAATTCAAAATAAATTACATTTCATTTTTAACCTAGGTGCTCCAGTTACTACAGTAACTTACCAGCCTTAATTGTTATGATATATATCTAAGTGTTTTTACATTGTTCCTGTCTTGGCAATTCAGTATTTTAAACAGGTTTTTTAAACCTGCATGTCAGTATAACAATTGATAGCTTAAAACTAAATAACTAAAACTAGATCTTATCTAAGTACAAAGGGAATTAATCGTTGCAATTGAGGATTGTAACGATTTTTGCCGGAAATTATTAATTATTTTGTTGGACATTTGTGCTAAAGTCTCAACATTCGAAATTCTATGTACTTCGGTAGTACTGTACCAGGGAGGCAACTTCAAAATCATCTTCAGAATTTTGTTCTGAATCCTTTGAAGTGCTTTTTTCCTGGTAGTGCAACAACTAGACCATATTGGAACAGCGTAAAGCATGGCCGGTCTAAAAACTTGTTTAAATATTAGAAGTTTATTCGTCAGGCAAAGTTTGGATTTCCTGTTAATAAGAGGATACAAACATTTTATATATTTGTTACATTTGGCTTGAATGCCCTCAATGTGATCTTTAAAAGTTAATTTATGGTCAAGTATTAATCCAAGATATTTCACTTGGTTTGACCAGGAAATTGGAACTCCGTTCATAGTGACTATGTGACTATTACTAGGTTTCAAAAAGGAAGCCCTGGGCTTATGTGGAAATATTATAAGTTGAGTTTTGGAAGCGTTGGGAGAAATCTTCCATTTTTGTAAATAAGAAGAGAAAATATCTAAACTTTTCTGAAGTCTGCTGCAAATAACACGAAGACTTCTTCCTTCAGCGGAAATGCCTGTGTCATCAGCGAACAAAGATTTGTGGCAACCCTGAGGCAAATCAGGGAGGTCCGAAGTGAAAATGTTATACAATATAGGCCCAAGAATGCTACCCTGAGGAACTCCTGCTCTAACAGGTAGTCGATTAGATTTGGAATTTTGATAATTTACCTGCAGAGTTCTGTCAGTTAAATAATTTTGAACTAATTTCATAATGTAAAGTGGAAAATTAAACTTTTTCAATTTAGCAATCAAACCTTCATGCCAAACACTGTCGAATGCTTTTTCTATGTCTAGAAGAGCAACTCCAGTTGAGTGGCCTTCAGATTTGTTTGAACGAATTAAATTGGTAACTCTCAAGAGTTGATGAGTAGTTGAATGCCCATGGCGAAATCCAAACTGCTCATCTGCAAAAATTGAGTTCGTATTGATGTGAAGCATCATTCTATTCAAAATTATCCTTTCAAAAAGTTTACTTATTGAAGAAAGCAAACTTATTGGACGGTAGCTAGAAGGTTCAGCTGGATTTTTATCCGGTTTCAAAATTGGAACAACTTTTGCATTTTTCCATTTATCAGGAAAGTATGCCAAATGGAAACATCTGTTAAATAATTTTACCAGGAAAGACAAGGTACTCTCTGGGAGTTTTTTGATGAGGATATAGAAAATTCCATCATCACCTGGAGCTTTCATATTTTGAAATTTTTTAGTTATAGACCTTACTTCGTCCAAATCAGTCCCCCAGGAATCATCAAAAATATTTTCCCGAGAGAAAATATTCCGAAAATCCCGAGCAACCTGATTCTCAATAGGACTAGTAAGACCCAAACTGAAATTATGGGAACTCTCGAATTGCTTAGCAAGTTTCTGAGCTTTTTCCAAATTTGTAATCAAAATTTTACCACCTTCTTTAAGCGCTGGAATTGGCTTTTGAGGTTTTTTCAAAATTTTTGTGAGTTTCCAAAAGGGTTTGGAACTCGGGTCTAATTTAGAAACATTATTTTCAAAAGTTTTGTTCCTCAGGGCAGAGAATCGCTTTTTAATTTGTTTTTGCAAATCCCGCCAGATAACTTTCATGGCAGGATCGCGTGTTCTTTGAAATTGTCTCCTACGGACATTTTTAAGACGGATCAAGAGCTGAAGATCATCGTCTATTATAATTGAATCGAATTTAACCTCGCATTTTGGTACTGAGGCAGCTCTTGCTTCAACTATAGAAGTAGTCAGAGATTCAAGAGCATAATTAATTTCATCTTTGGTTTGCAAAGGAATGTTTGGATCGAAGTTATATTCCATAAATGTTCGATATTGCTCCCAATCAGCCCTATGGTAATTGAAAGTAGAGCTGTTGGGATTAGAAATTATTTCTTGAGATATTTCAAAAGTTACTGGAAGGTGATCAGAACCGAAG